GTTATTATATTTCTAAAAGCGACTTCTTAGTTTTACAGAATGTACACGACGTAACAAAACCATGGAGTACCTACTAATTAATATCGGTGAGAAAAGAAAGAAATGTAAGCGATTCGTTGCATAAAGACAGAAATAGAGAAAAATTGTAATACGAAATTGTAAATTATATCAAGAGAAGAGTGACAAAGCATATTTTCTGGAAAACTCACTTAAATGAATGCTTGTTCAAAAAAATAGGAAGATCAATAAATTCTGAAATGCCATCGAATCTTTAGATTTTTAACCAGCCAAGTAGGTAATCTCTAGCTAAGCCCTATCTACTTGGGTATCAGCTATCTATGTACATTCATTTACTTTGTTCTATGAGTCTCCGTAAAAGAGAGTATGTTTTCTAAGAACTATCCACATAATGAAAAAAAAAGCAGACTTTTATGGAGAAAAGAAATTGATTCGGGGCCACCCACATATGATTCGGTTTCCTTATCACACTATGTGATGATGACTCACACCAATGTAAATAGTACATAAATATACGCGTGGTAACTATCAAAACAAGTTTTTGTTCATTTATTCATTTCTTTATTTAAATCGTAGTAAATTTATAAATTGGCATTCGGAAAAAGACAGAAAGTGTAAAAGCGAACGTTGCTGGTGCATGTTTTATTTATTTATTCTCTAAGAAAACCAACAGAGTTTTTCTGAAATTAAATTATAGCCAAAAAATTTCCAAAATCATGGCAAATAACAGGTTTTCCTTCCTTAACAAATAGTAGGTATAGGTGTTGCTGGAAAAACAGATTTTTGCAAGAAAATTTTTCTGATGTGTTAACTGTACGTTTTAATTCCATAGACAAGTCGTCAGCACTCGTTAGTGCATAAGTGACGTCACGCTGGCACGTGGGGACAAACACGCTTTGGCAGAACTCATTGTTTATTTATTATCGGCACTATCACACGAGCCGCACGTGGTTCGTATACCGACGCCGTGTGCGATACATTGTATTATCTTAAAACACTAACGGACTATTCCCACCTCTTGTTCCCACCGCTGCAACTCCTGTGTAGCCAGGATATACAGCTTGACCGCCAATAAAAACCCAACCTATGAAGGTCAAGTTTGTCCCGGGGGAAAGTTAAACTTTCATTGGACGTATTACGAAACTTGTCAGAAGAACATAGGAGGAGTTCCAGTGCAAAAGGTGACAAAACAAAGGACATACTTAAACTACTATTATATCAATTGTTCCGAATATTTCAGCCAAAATCATCTTCAAGGTCCCAAAAAGATAAACCGGTTAAACAATTCAACCTTGCTAAGCTAGTGTAACAATTGTAAATAAACAAATGGGCGGCCATTTTGGCGGGCATGTTGGTGACGCTGTCAAGTTGACGCGCCGTCAGCTGATAGCAATATGTGAACACATGGGGAAGTAAATAGGCTCAAGTATGACTCTACATCCAAGAAAAATATTGAAACTTGCGACTAAATAATAAAATTCAACCAATAACCGGCTTTTTATTTGGTACAGATTATTGAGTTTTTTAAGTTGTTTTTCAGGAATGTGCTGGCATTAAAGGGATTCAAAATATCCAGTCAAATTATTTGACCAGTTTACCTATTAATGTAACATCAAAAACATAATATTTTTAAGATACAGATCAATCTTTAAAGAAACTTTGTCTATATTTCACTAAATCATGCTTCATATAATATGTAATTATGTATACTAGGCTTAAGATTGAAATTAAAGATTGGTAATTAATATCGGAGGATGTTAGAAAATACCCACATAATGTTGTGCAATTTGTCAAAGGTGAAAATAATAAAAGATACAAAAACTTAACCAGTTTAGCTGACAATACTTGCTTTACAAATTTGCATAATTTACTAACATACGAAGATCATTAATTGAAAAGAAAAAAATATAATACGACTTTACCTACAATTTCAATAGTAGTTCTTTTTTAAATTGTTTATAAGATTGAAATAAAAAATAGTATTTGCGTCACAATCTTTTGTATCAAATTGGCTTTATATTTTCATTTTTGCTCATGAACAAGACTTGATGCTCATACTTTATTTTTCTTGTGCTAATTTCAGATAAGGCTGATCCCGTTAATTCCAATTACAGAGATTATTTTGTGAACTTTGATATTATGGACTCTACTTACAAACAAACAATACAAAGTGAAATTTTCATCAAAACAACAGCACGAAATCAGATTTCAAATGGTAAACACGGAGCGGATGCAGTATCGAGAAAGGTGAAACTTAACACTCGTCATGCAGATCGAGTTTTAGATCCACAACATTGGTTTCTAAGAGAACAACACGTTTGTTTTCGAGCAAGAATTCAGGTAGGTGGGCACGATGGTGTTCTTTATAAATAGCTAATGTTACTCATAACAGATCAATTTATTGATTAAAATATTTTAAGTAAGAATTCCTCAGAATTCTACGTTTCCAAATCAAGTTTAAGATGTTAGTTACTAATCTCTTCGCCGATTATACTGATATCACACAAGATAAGCAAATGAGTGAGCACTCCTGAATATAGGCATAAGGTATGGCATGAACCTTCAGACAGACCTTCTCAGCCATGATGATGATTGTATAGGTACCTTTGGCAAATTAAAATCATTAGGAGTAAGATGTTCGCGATCATTTTCTAATGTTAGCTACTTAGGAGCACAAAAGCGCTGTTAAAGCAGTTCAGGTAACTTGATGAAAACGGACTGGAAGCTATTATTATTTCTTCATTTACCTAGTTCTGCGTATGATTATTTCCACAAACGTTTGGAACAGGTATGACATGATGAATTTCACCGATGGCATACAGGTATGTAAATGTTTATGAGTTATATGGCAGAGATCGGTGTGGTATCAGCGATCGGTATTGTTGTTCAGACAGGCTCGTCGAGTTCAAGGGTATGACACACCATGACGTGGGAGGCCCGCGGATGGATTAAGTGGGGTAATCCAGACTTTAAAGTGGAGCAAAAAGGATAAATTTTCCTACAGAAGACTGTTTACGATGACTAATTAGTTGTAGGATGATTCCATTATGATTTTGAAGTGTACCTTAAGATAGCTTGAATAGTTTTATTGGCTTAAAGATTGAAATTTGGAGGCATTGCTTCTTGGTTAAAGCTGGTATTAAAGAATATTAAAGAGCAAAAACATCTAATATGTAGCATCATTTGGTCTTCTAATTTGTTGGTGGAAGTGGTGGTTATGAGCAATCCACATTTTCGAATTGGAAGACTATATACCTCTAGACTGCTGCCGCAAGGGAAATTCAGGGTCTACTAATAATTTAATATTTTCAACTTTTATTTTTTAAATGGAATGTATTGTCCTTTTAACATAGTGTTCTCCAAAGGGTGCATGCATGCGATTTATTTAGAAGAATTGTCTTAAGTAAGTAGCTGTTTTAGTTTTCAACCAACCAATTCTGTATTTAAATACAGTTTTTTATTGTCGTTGTGCTGGGCACACATGTCACTGAGGATAAGATTAATAACTGTCTATTGTTGCTCGTGGGCTATTGAGGAAAACGTGTGCCATAAATCTAAATGAATACGTAAGTATTGTACCTAAACTTTGTTTAAAATACCAGTATTATTATTTACTGTCTTAAGCAACATTGTATTCAATTTTCATTCAGTTGTCTAGTTCTAATCCCGGAATGGGAAAAGCTTATATTAAGCAAAAATAATTTATTTGATGAAAATTCATAAGAAAATAGACCTAATTCTTCAAAGGAAAAAGTATGAATGGTGAGTGATAAATCCCTAAGTAAAATGCATAATGATTAATAATTATATCATATTATTATCCTTGAATGTAGTTAACGATAATGTTAAAGTGTTGTTAAAAAATTGAATTCACACTCGTGAACACAATAATGCTTTATGTCTGAAAAGGTATTTTTGACTGATTGAAACGAAGCATTTATAAGTAATTAGTTTTAAATAGGTACGTCTATTTAATTTTTTATTTATTTATGATTTTATTTGCATAAAAAAGAGAACTTCTCCGATGCTCATCGTCTCTACAATAATTAGGTCAACGTGGCGCACCCTGTTTCCAAGGCATACATAAAAAACGACGATGATCACGACTAAATACTTAATAAACCAGCAGGTGCTATTCTAAAAACAGGTACTTAAATGCCCGTAGACATACGCCCAAGCAGTGTGATCATACGAAGAATTCAGTTGGCAGCGAAAAAACGCGACGTCGGCTGGGATCACCCGATTGCCTTGAACTCGTACGATCGACATTTTTTGCGAGCTACAACAGGATACATGCCACACCGGGCCCTTCTGGTTAGTTGATGCCCTTGATGGCTCTTAGAAACCAAAGCCGGCCGGGCCATGCCGAAAAGCACCTTTAGAGGCTTTAATTTCAGTAGCACCAAATCCTAAAATCAAGTGTTTCATATTCATTAAATGCTGGACAAACATTTTGCGACAATGCGGATACTAATCATGCAAATTCAATGAAATGTGAAACGAAACTCGATTACACTTCACATTCAAGTTACTTCATAATGACTAATTACTTTATTAATAGACTGTATAATAATATTATAAATATACTCGTAATTGGGATAAGAGAAACCTCAAGTAGAGCCGAGTCACCTAGAGGACACGTAGTTAATGTTGACAGTCTAATGTCTAGAGCAAACATGGCCGCAACTAGGTACACGTAACCAGACGCCCCAAAACCAATTCCGTTTTTGTACAAATAAAGCATACTGATCGTTAAACCATAAGGGTAGTCTAAGCCGGCCCACGCCCCTTTGTGAAACTGGGATGTTTTGGGGTGATTTTAGATTTATGCAAAAATATACTTACTGAACTGCGACATTTGAAGTGATGTTGCATAATTGATACATGGTGCGGCGCTGAGGGCGTCGTCAGATACACACATGATGTACACCGGCGAAATTCCGTGTCGCGGCGGAAGCGTCCCGCACCGTCGGTGGGTCACCAGCGAGCGTCTGTCGCGGAGCAGAGCGGCTTTATTGCGGAACTTAGTCAAGTGACCCGGTGGGACGCGTCGACTGCGGAAAATCGCGAAGCGGCGTGTTCCGCGGTCGTCCGTGAGGCACTGACGGCTCGCCTGCCGCCGGCCGCTCCTGCATTGCGGCGCGCAGTCGCACTCGGGCGCGCATGACCTTGGCATTGAACTTGGCAATGGGCCGCGCGGGCGCGGGGGGCCCGGGGGGATGAGATGCACCGGCAGGGCAGGCGGCACCGCGGCAGCTGCACCGCCCCTCTCCCGCCAACCTTCCGTCATCGCTGCCCGCGCAAGCGATCACCCTTTTCCCTTTTTAATTTACTGTCCCTATGCGACGCCATATTTAGTGCCGTGACGCTCTATTTAGTAAATGTATAATGGCAATTACATTCAAATGAACTAAGATGTTATAAGAATAAATGCAACTCGTGTCAATAGAATACAGTGTTGTTGTTGTAAACATATTAAGTATTCTTGGCGTTGATATCAATGTTATGAAATAGTGCAACTAAGATGCGGATTCTGAAATATGCGATTTAGGCACGGACGTTTCCAAGAGCTAAAGGTATTGTGAATCAGAATCACTGTAATAGGTACTACAGAAACCTACAAATGTCCTGAAACTTTCAACCGAATCGGGAAGTTCTGGAGAGTTCCAAAAATTTTAACCGGCGAATCGTTGCCATGTTGGTGATGTTCCGCAAATAGGTATGTAGCTAGGTACGCAATAAATCACGTTCTAATTTTATCGCGCGAGGAGCGGACATGTGGCTGGAGTCGCCGGCAGTCGCGTTACTGAATCCGATGCCTAATAAGCTTTAGATCGGGCACAGCAAAAACTGGTCGCTCTTGAGTTTGGTTACCGATCGGCCATCTTGTACTTTTTTGCGGATGGAAAAATTGCGCGAGTGAAATTGTTATCGCGTCTGGGAGTTATTCGTGTGGCGTCATGGTACACGTGTCGGAGATCGGGATGGAGTCATGGAGGTGAGAGGAAGGTGAGGGGAGGAGGGGTGTGGATGGGGAGCCGAGATCGATGCGGCGCGCGCATGCGCGGGGCGGCGTGCGCGGCCCGGGCTCGCAGGCTACGCCGCAGACGTCATTCGGCCTACGCATTTAGGGTTGCCAGTGTGCTTACCATGAGTTTACGTTAGGTGTGCTCGCTAGCGACTGCGTAAAAAAATGACATTTAATTGTATGACATATTGTGCAGCGCCCCTAGTGGCTACTTTCAAGAAACAAAATCTTCATAGAGATTTTTGACGTACTCGCTAGCGAGCACACCTAACGTAAACTCATGGTAGGTACACAGGTCCAAAAACACAAAAGCCGGACTTTGTGCTTCATTTGGCCGGACATTTTACCCTAAAAGTCGGTTCAATTAGTGAGCTCGCGAGTGAGTACTATCATCATCGGTTGCCTAACGTCTTGATGCGTGCGTGCCTTATTCTGTGGCTCGACTTTCGCCTAACAAAAGCCGGACAGGCCGGACATCGGTTATTTTGGCCGGACACGCAATCAAAAAGCCTAACTATGTCCGGCTTTATCCGGACGCCTGGCAACCCTACACGCATTACTGATAATCTCCACCGAGAGACTTGGCTAATTCGTGCTTGTTACTTGGGAAACTGAAGAGATTAACTCATCGTTATGGCTGTTGAACTAAGTAGGCTAAGTTGTACGTCTGGTAATGGCTATTACAATGCGGCTAAACTCTCGCCGCTAAGGAAGACGAATTAGGAAACCGATAAGTAATAGGTAGAAAGTTGGTGGAAGTTACATAGGAACTGCGTAGATAGAGATCGTAGATCGGATGGAGGTGTAGAGATATTATCTATGAGTAGATCGCAATGTGCGACTTGATTAACCAATTAGATCTTAATGGGTTATTTCCATGAGTTAACCATCCTGTAAATATTGTAAAAAACACATGATTTCTTATGAGGAAAACTTTAAGCTAACGAAGTCCGCTTCAGCTTAAATTCTTCAGGCGAAGACTCAGCACTAAAATTTTGTTACTTTACTGAGTGTTCTACAACTCCGCAGTAGAAGTTATGTAATACAACACAATGCCTACAACACGATACTTTGAACTTTGAAGACGCTTACAAAAGTTGGCACGATCCGTATTCTCGAGTTTCAGGCAGAAGCTTTTTACTTATGCAACATCATTAAATTATAATGAACGTATAACGTTACTTTATGAGTTTTATATGAATATGTATGAGTTTGTTATTAGGGACTTTCATTTAGAAAAAATCCAGCAATAACTCCCACGAAAATGTCATAGCCCTTTAGTCACATTTAGCTATTATTCCATTAAATGTAAAGCTGTCTAATGATATATTATTCAGAGAAGTTGCTGGTAGAAGTTAGTAATCTGCCTTACAAGGGGGAAACGATTAGTGTCGTCGAAATACACAAATTACATGTGCATGGCCTGACACAGTAAACTTCCATTAATTTGACACTTCAGGGTCATTCAGTAGAGTTATTTGGATCGCATTTTTATTGAATTCAAACCTAGCGTTTCTATATTTCAACTACTCAGTGATGCCGACTAGATACATAGGTATAGTGAAAGAATCGAAAGCTATTATTGTTCTTGCCTTTGAAGTAATTTTGGGACTTTCAAAGGGGTATTTTCTCCAGTCTAACTTGTAGCGTCCATTGACTCGTACAATACTCTATTTAGTTTTTCACAAAAGCCCTCGAGATACATAGCCAATCCCATTCTTAAAATATTAGAGTACAGATCAAACGCTTACTTAGCTGTAAACGCCTTTTCGGTAAGGCTTTCTTTATACCCAGGAAAGGTCAAAGGTTGTATAACGAACGATTCCAGACATAAAACCATTTACGTATACCAAACTTCTAAGAGGCTACTTCGTTATAAATTAATAACTTCAAATATTGTGTAACTTTGTTGGTTACTTAAGCTTGTTCGCTATGAATTTCCGAAAGTTAATTTCAAGTGATATTATGGACGAAGTGGTTAATTATATTCCTGAATAAGTTTTATACTAGTTTCTAACAGTGTTTTCTTTATCTTTCAGGGCTAGAGTTAATATGAGTAGAGCCTTGCTCACACCTTTCTTCTTCTTCGTCGCTACACTCTTGCCAGAGTGGTCGTGGTCGTCACAGGTCCGGTGGCAAGCCTCACAATCCGTCGCCATTCCTCCCGCACTGCAGCCTTTCTGGTGCACTCGTGGAGTGGACCATTGAGTGCGGTTTTGACGGTCAGTCCAGCGCATGGGCGACCTGCCGCGTGCTCTTGTGCCCTCAGCCTTCATGCATGACAAGTCGTTCAACAGAAGCGACGTATCCACGTGTAATATGGCCAAAGAAAGTGAGAATACGATTTTGGACGATGGAAGAAAGACACGCACCTTTGCAAGCTTTAATATAGTTTAGTCCTCGAAGTCCTACTCTGAGGCATTTTTTTAAGCAAAGAAAAATATAAATCTGTTTTTCAAATATACTCGTATTTCGGGATGTAAACTACACGGATCATTGAGATAATTTTTATTGGCTAAATAGCAGTTGTATGCAAGAATTAGCTCCTATTCATACAAGTTAAAATGTATACAAAAGGCACACTTCAATAGGAAGTATAAATATAATTGAAGTCCTTTATGACTTTGAACAATGTAGTAAATTCAATAGCAATTCAGTGACATAATTATATTTTAGTGCTCAGAGAAAAATATTACACGAAGTGGAAATAAAAGATAGATTTGTGTGTGTTTTTTGTCTAATTCTATTAAGATTATGTAGCGTTACCCTGCTCATAGATTTTTGGTTGCAGCCTCGATGATTATTTTGTCCCGGTTTCTAAATTGTTTACAGCTTGAGTGTGCTCATCTTCTACTGAATTTAATATGAAAATATCATACTTGATTAGAAGATGACAAGATGAACACGCTCAAGTCAAAAATGTCAATTCAGAAACCGAGCCTTTTATGTGTACCATTTAATCAAAATTATTTCATATTTGTTATGATTATAGTTGCTCTATCATACAGTGTCCACACTTCGGTCATATTACGTTCTCAACAGTTTGGATTTCCCGAAGTCCAAAAAAATCTTACGTCAGCTCCAACGTAACCTAAGCAACTAGTCTGGAATGCGGGCTTCGTGACAAGTGACTGGAGAAACCAGATTTGACAAAATACTCAGTCTAAGCTAGGGCGTAATAAATACCGTGAAAACCGCCTTTCTGTAAAAAGCTTACTTTCTTTTTTGTATTTGAAATATTTTTGCAGATTTGTTAAGGTGTGAAATTAAGTAAATATCTAGGTACGCTTTAACCATACCTACCTATAGATAATGTAGACAACATCAGACTTTAGTTTTTCCCTGATAAAGGAGGAAAACCCATATTTTTAATCAAAACTGAAAAAAAAGTTACTAAAATCTTTAATTTTCCAGTTTACTGCTGGTCATCATCTTAAAACTATTGTGTCTTTTGAATTTTTGATTCAGCCATTTCTCAGGCTGTGTAGAGTCACGTCTTGCGCTGTACCGGGTTAAACCGGCGTTTGTACTCGTATGGCCATCATTACCTAGCCACTCTACATTTTTACAAGTCGTATCAAGATACCCTTTTCTATTAAAGTTTAGTACTTTTAAAACTTGTGTTAATGATGTTCTGAATAATCATAGTTGTGGGTCCTCATTTTCGTAATATTTCGCTATCTACATTCATAGCTGTGCATATTGTTATCCTTGTTGGTGTTTATGCTTTCTTTTCTAGGTTTTCTGGTTTATTTTCTGGTTTTTAGATTTCAGTCAGCGGTCTGTTATCAAACTGAATTTAAATATTATATTCTACCTTCAGTCACTATTATTATTTAAGACATGCAGTTGACATGGTGGATTCCTGGTTTGAATTAAATTCTCAAGCTTTATAGGCTTTAGTCGATACTACGCTTCCACGCAATCTATGCACATGTCATGGCAGCTTTTAATTAAAGGCTACACTATAAACATGTATTGATTTCAATGTTTATTTCCATTTGATTGTGTATGTCGGTCTTGTTAGCTGTTTATACAACTATTCAGTGACATTTGGCTCTAATTACAACATTTAAAAGTTCCTCCCTAGGTTTAGTATCGCGAGAGTAGCCCAGGGCCCAGCGGGGGCGCCCTGCCAATCAATAGGCGCGCGCCCAACAGCTGGTCTAAGCTTTATGAGCACTGTTCCTTTTGGAAGGGCTCTATTAATCTATTTTAACAGCCAGAGGTACTGCTAGTGAAGGGCCGTATTTGTGCCCTGTTTTACGATCTTGCGTCAAGATTTTCAATGTGACCCCTGCAACTCTGTTGTTTTTAGCCACTCGATTTTTAATAAGAAAGTATCAGTTTTAGTCAAGTTATGGTACATGAGCACCCTAAATCTATGATACTTTTATCGATCGATGGAAAACTCCTCTTTTTAGGGTTCCATAGTCCTGACAAGGAATCAATTTTCAAGTAGAAGGATCATACTCGTAAGGCTCTTCTGAATGTTCATCTATACGTATGTACGTTATCAATAACGCCTTACTTCTCTATAACTGAAGTTATGAGCATTGTCGGAAATAAACAATGCGCTATTCAGCCTAACATTAGTTCATTAATTCACTATCTTAACCCTTCGATTGCATAGATACATATTATGTTACACGAGTACCTAAACCACAAGCGCCATCTGTAGCAGTTTATCACTACGAGTTTAGCTCCCTATGCGTGCGACTGATATTTTACTCACGCACTATTTTGTAAAGTCAGAGTTTCTGCACCATACGCAGTAAAATACTAAATAGACTCTTAGCAAATTTTGACTTCATGTTGACACGGAGTGGAAACCATTTTGGTATAAGAAAAATCTTATTTTTGTTAAGCATTTTGTAAACCAAAATATTTTTATATGTCCTACAGAAAATAAGAAACAGCAAAAGCAAATGCTCTACAAAAAACCTTTAAGGATACTAAAATCAGTCGCAGCAACGCAGCCTCTAGTATTTGAAACGCCATTTTATTCTATAGATTTTTTTTTATTTTTTTTATTCTAAAGACGAATTTAACGATAGAGTAAATCTGATTTAAAATATTATTTTTTTGTTAAAATACAT